CTGCCTTAGGGACTGGAGGAATGCCTCGTTTTTCTCCATTCTTTTAAAAGCCGATTTGGCTCCAGCCCCTCAGCATCCATTGCCCCGGTTTGTCTCGGGCAGCCTAACGCGATGGCCCCTCCCGGTGACAGATTTGGTGCTGTACCTGGGAACTGGGAATGTGGGACTGTGGCCTTTGGGGGGCTGCTGGGGGGAAATTGGTGGGGAGGGCAGAGGTGTGAGGAAATGCTTGTAAAATGGAGCTTTACTGAAAACACAGAGTGGAGTCAGGAAATCCAGGTTCTTCCCCTAGACTTGCATTTAAGTTTCTTTAGTCTGAGTGTTATTACCGCAATTTTTGTCTCACAAGAAGAAATTCGATTATTAATTAACAAGTGAATGTAAAGTGTTTTGAGAGCACAGATAAGAGACTTGTAGGAGTGAAAAAGTGTTATCTCAGCCTTCAAAAAGCTTGGTTCAGCATTTGACCTTAGGTAGTAGTTTCTGAAGTGATTTGACTATCCTTAGTCACCTCACATTATTGCTCCACATTTTAACACCAGACAGTAATTTCCATACCACCATAGCATTTATGATGTGTGATCCTTTCTGCTGAACTAGTGAAATTCATATACCTGATTACAGTAATGATGGGCAGTTATAAAAGCTTAAATCAATAGAGTTGTCTGAAGATTTCTAATTACGTTCTCTTAAAGGCTGCCTAGAACTCATCATGACCACATGCTGGGAGCCTGCCCATCTTTGGACCATCATTTGTAGATCCCTTTATTCTTCTTAGTCTCATCCTACTGTTTTCAGGGTGACCTTTGTTGCCCAGCCTCTTTAAGAAGAGATGTGCTATCTCTTCCGTACCATCCAATTTTGGTATGCAGAACAAAAAGAGAGGGAACATGGTCAGGATGGGCAATGGAGAGAGGTTGTTCCTTACTTGCTTCCCTATTAGGCCAGCAGCTGTGTTGACCACGGTGTGTGGGAGTAGAAGTGTGTGCTTAGAGAAACATGGGCTGTGTGGCTCTGGAATGGGGTGCAGGAGCAGGGCATGCTACAGGCAGGTTCTAACAGGTACTTTGGAAACTGGTTGTGATTCCACAAGCTGGTTTGACTGGCCCACACCGAGCTTTCCTCCAGCATGATCTTGACTGTAGGAGAGCTTTCACTCCAGGAGCATCTTTTGTAATTTTTCAGTGTTCATTATCACCAGTTTGCTTTTTCACCATGTTAAGTGGCCTGTCTATCCCGTATAAAATTCCATGTCTTTATCGGCTGAGAAGGTTAACTTACTGAGCAGGCTCGGTTTGGCTTTTGCACTGCACGTAGTGCTTGTGACATAAATGTGTTGAGCACAGTCACTGGGATCAAGCAGTGGTCTTGTATTAATTTTCGTATTTCAAAGTAGACCTGGGATTCTCCCAATGTATTTCTTTTTCAGCTACTGATTCCTTTTTAAATTTGGACATTCTGCCTTGTCTCCTGGTACAGGTCTCCTCTTGTGAACAACTGTTGCCAATTTCTTCTACAAGTCACCTCCATGTGCCTAGCGAGGTGTCCTCCCGAGTGAACCTGGAGAGAGCCTGGGCACCAAAGCTAGGGTGAAGCTGTGGGTAGTGTGTGCACACAGACACCCCTGCCTCCAGCTTTCCTACCCCTCCTGGGACACTTTTTAGGACTGCTCAAGCACACTTGAAGAACTATTTAATGGGTGACCACCCCAATACTTTGATTTTCAAATACTACATAAGAAAGAAGGAAAAAGTACTCCTTGTGTGCCAGTCTTAGCCTTCATAGCCTTCCCAGAAAGCCTGGCCACATTCATATTATTATAACATATGAGAATGACCTAATTCCTCCCTGTCTGAAGTCTCTTCCCTTCCATGATTGATTATCAAAGCTCCAGGAAAGCTTCTCCTGCATAGGGAACGCTTTGGAGTACATTGCAGGACACTTCCAGATAGCCCCCAAGGACTTCGCAGAAGGGCCAAGGGAACGTGTGATGTCCCTGCTGAAGCTCTCCAGCACACCTGCACTGCTCTGCCTTCTTTTAAAATGCCCATCAGAAGCTAGGCCAGCAATGTGGGAGCCTGCAGGATTATTTAGTCATTGCAGCAGGAGGAGGAGAATAATCCATAGCATTTTCTTTTGAAGCAGGAACACGTAAAGCAAAGAGGAGTCCTGGAAAGAAAAATAACACTTTAAAGGTATGTTGCTTATTTGGGAAAAAAAAATCCCAAACCATGTTCCTCTGCTGGGTTGGTCACTTGTCTGAACAGAGCAATTAGTCAGGCCTTTCTGTGAGCTGTGGGAGGCTCTTAGTTGCCATCTGTGCAGCTCTCCAAATGTTGCTATACGAGTTGTGCTATGGGCCACATCAGCGACAGGGAAGCTTTCCCTTAGCTCTCTGGAGCTGGTGTGCGTGGGTGCTGTCCCTGCCCATGGATGAACCTGTGCCAGCAGGGATGCCGAGGGCACTCCTGCTCTGCAGGCAAAGGCTTGGGCCATGGGTCTGCTGGCGCTATTTTTAATAGCTTTCTGTCAAATGTAAGGGAGAAGGCAGTTTATTATCAGATCTTGAAAGTTAACATGTATTTCCTACCAACTATACAACAATATTTTTTTGGTCTTTATATGAAACGTGTCTTCAAAGAACTTCACATTATTAGGATATCTTTTATCAGAACTTATAGTTGTGGATTTTTATTTCTTTTATACCTAAATGACATGCTGTTGGTGTTTCTGATTATGTTTTTCCTTATACACGAATTTTATGCTGAATCACAAAAATCTGCACTTGTAAGTTAACTTCTTTAGCACCATTTCCCTATGTTTGTGTTTTTAATGATTTGAATTTTGCCTCATTTTTATTTGTTTAGCCTTTGCATTATTACTCAGTCAATTCCAAAGCAGGCATCTTGGTAACTTGACTAGCTCTGAGACTCCTTTCCTGCCTAAATTCACCTGTAACACCCCTTGGCTCATTCCAGAGTAGGTTAAGTCACAGGACTACTTCCTTTCTTTTACTAGAAATGCTTTTATCTCAGTACTAGCAACCTGTACCAGCAGTCTGCAAGAGACCTATCTAAACAAATTCTCAGAGAAGAGTTGTGGCTGTAGCTCCCCTCTGTTTTCCTTGCTAGAACCTGCTGGAGGGGAAGGAACTCAGATTTTTATCTGCAGAACTGACTGTGCTTCTATATGTGGAGCTTCCCAAGCAGGAAGACCTGTACCTCAGCCCTGCTGACAGCAGTGGAAAGTGCCACGTTGATCTAAATGTTTCAACAACTGTGAAAAAGAAAAAAAATGTTTCCAGCAATACAGGAAAATACTAGAGCCTTTTCAGCTTACAGGTATATCAATATTCTGATCCTGGTCAATTGGCGTATAAATAGGTACCATGAACAAATTCCAGTGGAACTTCCTTTGCATTTGAGAAGTTAAAACTATTTTTCCCTCTGAGGAGTTAGGAGCATTTTAAATTCCTCCTTTTCATGATCCCGGTAACTTTGTAGAAGTGAAGTCTATTAAGTTAGGAGATCTTTGAAAAGGACACCAATAATCAAGTCAGTGCTCAATGAAACAAGGTTTTTCCCACAAATCATGACTGATATCTGTGTCATTAGTAGGGTAGCTGCCCATCTCTTATCATGATTGGCAGGTTAATAAGGGACCTGGGGCTATCTTTTCACTGCTAGCACACAACCTAACCAATTGCTTTTAAATGATTGTTAATTTGACAGAATATAAGCAGAAGACATAAAAATATCTGGAATAATGTCTAATGCAGTTTTTACTTCTGGTATTGTGAGTACTTGCATTTTAGAAAACAGATTAGAATGTAGTTAATACATTTTAAATTTTTTTAGACACTCAGTTTTTTAAATAAAATCTTGTAGTAGTTCTTTGGTTCAATTAGGAGCAAAAGAGAAGGGAGTTTTGTAATGCAATTGTCCTGTAAAGGAAAATGTTTTAAATTGGGGAGATTATGTGAGCAGACCACCTGTAGGGCATTCATAGCTCTTTTCTATAATGCTCCAAGCCATGCCTTGCTGCCTGCAGTCTGGCTAACAATGCAGGGAAAAGCTGTTTAAAAGGCTGTTCTCCCTTTCCCCTCTGGTGTTCACTAACTGTTACAAGTCTTCCTCTTAAAATAAAAAAAAAAAGTCCCATGTCCCTTTAATTGAAGAACTTTAAGGCTCCATGGTGGCCAATTGGTCTGCAACAAGAGGAACCAGGCAGCAGGGAAAGAAACTTCAGACTATACATCACGTTTGGTGAAGAGAAAAGATCAAAGTTTTCCCAAACTCAAAAGAAACCAAGTTCCCTACAGATTAACCCTATTCATTTAGCTCCTCTTAAAGGAATGATGTTCTGAGCCACTGGGCAGACAGGTAAAAAGTTCAACAATTGCCAAAGCATTCTTCTGTTAATTCAACAGCCTTCTGCTCAAATAAATTAGCTTAGTCCTGACAGAAGAACAATACCTTTTCTCTTGAAAAAGGACCATATTTGATATACAAAAGTTAAGATGTTAGTTTAATCTGTTAAGAAGAGATTGATCTAACAAATCTCAACTCGCTGTTCCACCAAAGTACATGATCTATGAATTTAAAACATTAACCTTTTACACTTCAGTATGCATCCCAGGAAAGGCAGGTGCTTACAGAAGTGCAGACAACAGATACAAGAGGCCTGTGTGCACATTCCTAAAATAACACCCATTTTAAAAGGATACTTAACATGCCATGTGAGATGACTCTTTTGTAAAGGCTCAGTTTAAAGATACTGTCATCTTTCAAAAAGCAGAGAACTATGGCAAGGCACCTCCCCGTTTTAGCAAACGCTTTTTCAGAACAACTTGTTGAATAACTTGTTTTCTTGTGTCTACATATCTCAATACTTTAACAGGTAATGACTAGAACATGAATGTAGTTTGTAGTTTATACAACTACCTAAAGATATAGCAGTTTGAAGAACCAAGGCAGGAGTAGGGGAAAAGCTTGAAAAAGTCATTTATCAAAAGTCATTTTATTGACAAAATAGAATACTCATATTTGCTCTTACAGGGGTAGCCTCTAAACATTTTTACAAAAAAATTTACAGACTGTATAGCTTTGGATATATACATATTTTACACATCTGTACAAGGTAACAAATAATTATATAAATACATCCTTTAATGTAGGAAACCCGTATTTAGCTGGGGTGTATAATTAAGACATGTTTTGTTTCAGTCTATATTGTAAGGCATTTGCCTGGTCATCAACATCCCAAAAACCTGCAGTCCCAGCAGACTCCCACCTCAGGATGGGGGGGAGGAAGACCCTCCCTCCCTTGAGTAAAGAGTTGCTGTTAGTCCAGAGTGACTCAGAAGCCGCTGTGCCTTGCCGTCTGTAAGACACGGGTGAGCCTCTACCCTCCTCTGCCAGCAAAATAATAAGCTGGCTCCTTGAAGTACATGCTCCCTGCATATGAATGGAGGGGAAGGTGGAGGGGGCTGGAGCCTGGGGCCTCTGCCAGCTGCATTGTTCTATACAAGCTGTGGCTAATAAGGACCATTAGGGGTTCATTAATGGCACCAAACAGTGAGGGGGCATTTTAGGCAGGCCAGTGTCCCTCAATCCCTAACCTTTGGCCTCTTTCACCCTCCTCATACTTGAGACAGGGGCATCTGCTTGGGATAGGAGACAGAGCTGGCAGTGCCTGATCTCCACGTCAGGCCAGTGCTGACATCACTGTAGAGTGAGCCACCACCTCCAGCCCCAAGTCCTCCTGCTGCGGTGATTGCTGCCTGCCCACCTGCTCCTGCCCCTGCGCTCCCAGCCACGGCAGCACCTTTGCTGGCCCAGCAACAGCGAGTGCAGAGGGCTCTCCAGGACTCAAGGGTCTTGCCGGACCAGACCCAGACACCGGAGGTGATGCCCACCACCAGGCACATGAAGTACTTGAGCATGAAGACGGCATAGTCAGGGCGGCGGGCCTGGTCAGGCTGTTGGTCACGCAGGCAGGGACAGTTGTGCGTGGCCTCCCAGCGTGGCCGGTTGTGCTGCTCATAGAAGAGGCAGGCGACCACGCTGGCAGCTGGCACAGTGTAGAGCACGGTGAAGAGTCCCAGGCGTATCATCAGCTTCTCCAGCTTGTGGGTCTTGGTGGGGCCACCCTGCTGTTTGATGACACTGCGGATACGGAAGAGCGAGACGAAGCCAGCGAGCAGGAACATGGAGCCGATGGCCAAGTAGATGAGCAGCGGTGCCAGCACAAAGCCCCGCAAGTTCTCCAGGCTCTGGTTGCCCACGTAGCAGATGCCAGCCACTGGGTCCCCGTCCACAGAACTGAGTGCCAGCACAGCGATGGACTTGACGCTGGGGAGCAGCCAGGCGGCCAGGTGGAAATACTGTGCGTAGCCAGCGATGGCCTCGTTGCCCCACTTCAT